CGAGTAGCCCCAAGAAGCCAAAAAGTTGTTGTAATATACATTTGAATGTAAATATTTATGTCAATGAGCAAAGTGTTTATATTAAACTAGTGTTGAAATGTTATTCTTGTTTATGTTGTGTATAAAGTTATATTGAAATAAGACCAAAACTGTAGGAGGTGTAGCATTTTGAAAGAATTTCACAGAAATTTCTATTTCTATTAACCAAAGCAACACCGTTCATCAAAATCTTAAACCAATATACAGAATTATGTATCTTAGTGTAGTCTACTTGTGTGCCAAGTTATATTGAAATCAGACCAAAACTGTAGGAGGAGTAGCATTTTGAAAGAATTTCATAGAAATTTCTATTTTTAGTAACCAAAGCAACACCGTTCATTGAAATCAAAAAGCGATACACAGAATTATGAATCTTAGTGTAGTCTACTTGTGTGCCAAGTTATATTGAATTCAGACTAAAACTGTAGGAGGAGTAGCATTTTGAAAGAATTTCACAGAAATTTCTATTTTTAGTAACCACGGCAACATCGTTCATCGAAATCAAAAATCGATACTTAGAATTATGTATCTTAGTGTAGTCTACTTGTGTGCCAAGTTATATTGAAATCAGACCAAAACTGTAGGAGGAGTAGCATTTTGAAAGAATTTCACAGAGATTTCTATTTTTAGTAACCACGGCAACACCATTCATCAAAATCAAAAACGGATACACAGAATTATGTATCTTAGTGTAGTTTACTTGTGTGCCATGTTATATTGAAATCAGACCAAAACTGTAGGAGGAGTAGCATTTTGAAAAATTGTTTACAGACAGACAGACGGACAGACAGCTAGACAGACAAACGGACGGACGACGGACGCATTACTATCGCATAAGCTCTTCTGGTCTCTGACCAGTAGAGCTAACAAGAGGCCCATGGGCCACATCGCTCACCTGAGAAGCTTTGACCATTCTGTTCTTGACCAGATTTCCTCCTTGTAATACATAATGTATCCCCACCCTACCCCACTAATCATAATTTAGACATTTTGAAATCTACACTACCCCAGGATCCTTCCATGTGCACATAAGTTTCAGCTTTTCTGGCCCAGTGGTGGTTCTTGAGAAGAAGATGTTCAAAGATTTTTCCTATATATTTCCATGTAAAACTTTGATTCCCCATTGTGGCCCCGCCCTTCCCCGGGGGTCATGATTTGAACAAATTAAAATCTACACTTCCCCAAAATGCTTCCACGTAAGTTTCAGCTTTTCTGGCCCAGTGGTTCTTGAGAAGAAGATTTTCAAAGATTTTTCCTATATATTTCTATGTAAAACTTTGATTCCCCATTGTGGCCCCGCCCTTCCCCCGGGGGTCATGATTTGAACAATTTAGAATCTACACTTCCCCAAAATGCTTCCACATAAGTTTCAGCTTTTCTGGCCCAGTGGTTCTTGAGAAGAAGATTTTCAAAGATTTTTCCTATATATTTCTATGTAAAACTTTGATTCCCCATTGTGGCCCCGCCCTTCACCCGGGGGTCATGATTTGAACAATTTAGAATCTACACTATACCAGGATGCTTCCATATAAGTTTCAGCTTTTCTGGCCAAGTGGTTCTTGAGAAGAAGATTTTTTTAATGACCCCACTCTATTTTTGTCTTTTCTTGATTATATCCCCTTGTGAGGATACTTGGCCCTTGATTTTAACAATTTAAATTCCCCTTTACCCAAGGATGCTTTGTATCAAGTTTGGTCAAAATTGGCCCATTGGTTCTTGAGAAGAAGTCGAAAATGTGAAAAGTTTACAGACGGACAGACAGACGGACAGCTAGATGGACGGACAGACAGCTAGACAGACAGACGGACGACGGACAAAATGTGATCAGAAAAGTTCACTTGAGCCTTAAGCTCACGTGAGCAAAAAATGTGTAGATCGTTACCATCAAAAATATAAGTCCTTTCACTTCGGAGTTCCGAATGGCAATGAAGACTGAACGATAAGTGAACGATGAACGCTGGGTGAACGCAAAGAAAACAGAATGAAGAGCGAACAGTGAACGGCTTGTGAATGGTGAACACGAGCGCACGTTGAACGCTGAACGCAAAACTGTGAACGGAGGATGAACGGTGAAGGAACAGATAAATGGGAAAGTAGAATGTTTCAGGGACTGTACATGCATGGGAATGAAAATATAGGTCAGATTCAGCATCTCAAGCAAGTCTGGTAGTGTCCATCCCTAGATGCATCATCCATGCAAGTTTGGTTCAGGCAGGGCTTATAGTTACTAAGGAATGAAAATAAAGGTCAGATCCAGCATCCGAAGCAAGTCTGGTAGTGTCCATCTCTACATGCATCATCCATGCAAGTTTGGTCCAGGTAGGGCTTATAGTTAATTTGGAATGAAAATATAGGTTAGATCCAGCATCTGAAGAAAGTCTGGTAGTGTCCATCCTTTGATGCATCATCCATGCAAATTTGGTCCAAGCAGGGCTTATAGTTTCTTAGGAATGGACCTGCTCGAAATACTTTGACCTTGTCACTCATCTGGAAAATGTAGGTCAGATCCAGCATCCGAAGCAAGTCTCAGGTAATGTTCATCCCTAGATGCATCATCTTTGCAAGTTGTATCAACATGTGAAGTTTGATTACACCATCTTGAACATCTTCGCTAGCCAAGCACTACTCTCCTCATGAACCCTTGGCATACGGTGTTCATAGAAGTTGGGTTAATTTTTCTTGATTTGTCGACCAATCAGCAATTGTTTTTTGTAAATGACGACATTTGCATTCGGGATACTTCTTAACTCTTTAATCTCGGAAATGAAAAATGCAAGTAAACAACTATCTGTAAGATAACATGCGATTCTATGAATAGATATGGTGTCATCTAATATCTTCGAATTCTGAATATGTGATTGAGAATTATATTGAAGCTTCCGATTTGTACTATAAAAATAATAATTAATCATAAATCAATTATTGCTTCTTAAATTTTCTTGAAAAAAACTTTGATTTAATTTTTTTAAACATGCGTCTTTATTTCTGTCAATGACACAATCTGTGCATTCCTGATTTGATTCGAGATCACTCGACGAAAACAATCATGTCTTTTGACTTCACGGTATGCCAAGGGTCTATGAGAAGAGCAGCATATCAGAAACCCTTGGCCAGTGAAGATGCATCTTGAATGGTATGTTTAAAACTGAGCTAAACTCTAATTTAAGAAAAGTGAAGTCAAGGTCTAAGTAAAGGTCAATGTCATAATATGTCTATCAGCATATGAAGTTTGATGAAAATATCTTGGATAGTTTCTTTGAAACTTAGCTTTGAAAAGAGCTAAACGCAAAGTGTGACAGAAGGACAGACAGAAGGACGGAAGACAGACATGACAAACACTCCATATTCATGGCGGGGCATACAAATAGTCTCATACAAACACGAAACAAATTTAATGATTATTTAGTTAGACTGCTGTCAAATATCAACATTTATAAAATAAACAACTAACAACTTTTATATTTTGATCAAAGCAATCTTGCTAACTTTGATTATATATGTGACCTAGATTTAAGTTGTCGGAAGCATGAACACATGTATATGCCCTAGGTCACTTCTCCGCCGGCATATTGAATGCAATGTTGCAGTTGATGAAACAGGAGTTGACCAGCATGGTCAGGAAACAGAATTGTGTGTGTTGAAATAACAGAAGACGTTAAATTGCGAAAGTAGTTGACTGAGGGACGATGTCTGTATTGGATGAAGGAGTGCAGATCACAGGCACCTGACCTTACTTATCTATGTGGCAATGCTGATTTCTCCTCATGGTTCAGATGGTCTGTTACCATGTTTACGGAAGTGAAGTTCTCGGTCTCGCAAGTCCTCGGTGATAATGGACAGCGTAGCGCTAGTGACTTGCTTTTCATTTACATGCCACAGGAATCACGGAAAATTAACAAAATTCACTTTTGTAGTGTTTATCTTAGGGAAAACAATTGGAAATGGAAATTGTGGAAACAATGGAAAAAATGGAAACCAAAACTGTAGGAGGAGTAGCATTTTGAAAGAATTTCACAGAAATTTCTAAGCAAGTAAGACATCAACAGAATAACGCCGCCGCAAGGGCATATCCTATATAATTTTTAATAAATAAAGTAAAATATAAAGAAGAATGTTATAAAATTTAATAAAATTGCTGCACAAATCCTAGGCGCTTTTTTAATTTACAAATTTTTAATTTACAAAAATTTCAGGAAACTTACACCGGACAGTGAATTTTTACCTAGTTTCAACTTAAAACTTTTAAAATAGTAACTAAACAATTGCACTGTCAACATTTGTGCAGCAATATCACAAATCCTTGTAATATTCTGCATCTAATAATACCTTGTTTCTGAAGAACAAAGTTGAGTATGCCCTTGCGCTGAAGCTAATTTGTTGATGTTCCTTATGAACTTGTGTAGTACAGGACTCTGCATGATGTCATAATATGAAGTCATAATGTGCACTGGCTAGGGCATGTTGTGGGTACCAAGTTTGTATATATAATAAGAAAACAAGTTTTAACTTTTTCTGTGCAATAAATTCAGTCCTTATGCGTTTTAATTAATCAATTGCATAGAAACCTCACTACATTGCCTTAACTTACTTTCATATTTTTAGTAACTATGGCAACACCGTTCATCGAAATCAGAAACTGACATGAAGAATTATGTATCTTAGTGTAATCTAATTGTGTGCCGAGTTATATTGAAATCAGACCAAAACTGTAGGAGGAGTAGTATTTTGAAAAATTGTTTACAGATAGCTAGACAGACAAACAGACAGATGCATTGTTTTGCATAAGCTCTTCTGGTCTCTGACCAGTAGAGCTAAAAACTACAATACAAAGAGCTTTTAAGAAAAGTTAATTTTAATTTTGTTGGTGAAATTAATGCTCAGTCAAAGCACCTGATTTTAAGTGTTTTGGTCTAGTTTTCTGAAGGCTCACACAAATATTGTGGAAACATTGAGTCCCGTACCTGAAGTTTACCTCCACCACCGTCTGCCGTCCTTCAACATTCTTGTACAGACTTTCTATTGCCTTGGTAACTCTACAGGACAAGTCCTTGTAAGCCTCTGATTTGCAGTCCCCAAGGTCATCTGCGTAAGTCTCACTGGTTATTTTTATCACTGCTCGATAATATTCTGAAAAGGGTGAAATAATTTGTTTTCAATTAAAATATGAACCTAACTACAAGCTATAAACTACTCTAAGACTATGAAATACAGGTACACTCAGTCAATTTATGATTTCATTAGAAATATTCTATTTAAACTTTACTCCTCTAAAAAAGTGAAAAATAATCTTCTGATACAATTGATTACTGTAAAGAGAAGCTTAAATTCATTCTTACTAAGTCTTAATGAGTTCTCGCTTACTACATCAGGAGTATAATTATGTAAAAATGTTACCTACAAAAGTTGTTATTACATAAAGAGTGAGAACCACATGTTCAATGAATGCATTGAGACATCATATTTACATGAGAATTGCCATTTTTTTTCCTTTCAGATTCATTTGAATAAAATTCTAAGTTCATGTCTTAATGACTAAAACTGATAAGGAGTATACATGTACTGCAGTCAGATGGCATAAAATGAAGAAAAAAAAATAAGCCAATTGTCAATTCTCTGTGTTAATTAATAAATAAATACAGGTGAACTTTGGTATCTTGAACAAGAATATCTCAAAAACCATGCATATGGCAAAGTGATTTGGAAATCCCTGCCACCACTTATTTCAGTATTTTACCCTCAATATATCAAATCCTTGGGTATCTTCAAGTTTTCTCTTTGTGAATAAATTAATAAATATAATCTAATCTATAAATTCTGAAACTTCAACAATATTGAATGATTCAAATTAAGAAATAAATCTACTGTTTTGCAAAATTGATGACTGAGAAAAAAACATTTCAAACCAAAGAATTAGAAAGAACAAGAAATCTGTGAGCCAGTGCTCACTAGTAATACCCCCATTCTGATGTGAATAAACACTATCATGTTAATACATGTATACACAAGTTCAATTACGGGCAGATGCACAGAAAAATATGAGGTTGACAGCAGATTCATATGAAAGTTAATCCCACAATATGGCATTCTTCAACAAAGAGTGTACTAAAATTTTGAGCATCTGCAATGAATAGTTGATAAGAAAACTGCAATGAAAAGTTGCTATGCATGAAACTGACAGTCACACAGACAAACAGGAAATTGACATCAGATTTGAACAAAAATGTATCCCACCATATGGCATGCTTTAGGAAAGATTGTGTTAAGAAATTTAAGCATCTGCGACGAGTAGTTACTGAGAAAAATTGCAAAAAATATGTTATGTATGAAATGGACAGACAGACAGATAAACAGGAAGTTGAAATTGGAAGTAAACAAAAATGTATCCCACCGTATGGCATGCCTCAGAGAAGATTGTGTTGAAATTTCACGCATCTGTGATGAGTAGTTTTTGAGAAAACTATGACGAAAATTTGTTTTGTATGAAGCGGACAGACGCATGGATAAACAGGAATTTGACATCAGATTTGAACAAAAATGTATCCCACTGTATGGCATGTCTAAGAAAAGATTGTGTTCAAATTTCAAGCATCTACTATGAGTAGTTGCTGAGAAAACTGTAACGAAAATTTCTTACGGACAGACACAGGGATACACAGACACACAGACCGACAGACACACAAGGGTAAAACAGTATACCCCCCTCTCCTTCGGAGCCAGGGTATAAATATTTTCTGATACAAGAGGCCTGTGGGTCATATAGGTCACCTGAGTATCATGCAGTAACTTTCCAACAATTGGATTTGGTTCGTGTTTTAAACCAGAGGCCATGAAATTCACAATTTTGAAACAGTCACCATTGTTCATCATATACACTCAGCATGCCTACTTTGATTAACTCACAAAGTTTGATGATTCTAAGCTTATTAATACCTAAGATGCTTAAATAAAGCTATGAAATGTCAAAAGTAGGTCACCATGACCTACTTTTGGTCGTCACTCTCCGAAAACTCAAGATGCATCAACTCACAAAGTTTGATGATTCTAAGCTTATAAATACCTAAGATACTTAAATAAAGCTATAAAATGTCAAAAGTAGGTCACCGTGACCTATTTTTTGGCCGTCACTCTCCAAAAACCCAAGATGCATCAACTCAAAAAGTTTGATGATTCTTAACCAATAAATACCGAAGATACTTAAATAAAGCCATAAAATGTCAAAAGTAGGTCACCGTGACCTACATTTTAGTCAACATTTTTCAAAGTCCCAAGATGCATCTGCTGACCAAGTTTGATGATCGTAGGTCTGAAGGTAATCAAAATATGCCTTTTAAACAATATGAAAACATATGCCTGCAAAATTCAAAAAGTAGGTCACAGTGACCTACTTTTTCATAAATATGTTTTAAGGTCCCAAGATGCAGCAATTTACAAGATTTGATGATTCTAACCTCTCAGTGTCTGCAATAATGGGATTAAATGTTTTAATAAAGTGCCACGCCATAGCATGATACGCCCGTCAAAAAATTACAATTACAATGTATCTTAAACAATTAAAAGTGCAGGAAAATCATGTCAACCTTGATTTTAAGATTTCAATGATTTTTACACACCTTAAAAAAATTTATTTATCCATCTCCTGTGGTGTAGGCATTAATTATAACAAATATTGCATCATTCATAAATTTCTATACCTTGCCAAATGCCTATCATATTAAACAATATCAAATTAGTCTTCACAACTTAATCTATACCTAATTAATTTTGGAAATAAAAGGCTGGCAATCAAATACAAATTGACCAACAGTTCTGTCTAATTCCCGCAGGATACTGTCAGATAAAACCATGCTCTGAAGAAATGAAAGAGACATTGCAGCTAGCCTTCCTACATTGAACACATTAATTAATCATTACTGGATGCTTGTCTACTCATTACTCCCAAAAGATTATTGGATCTGTACTATCTACCATAAAACATTTTTAAAACATGTAAAACATCAATGATTGTTTTTTTAGATTTCATGTCAGACAGCTAATTGTTAATATGCAATTCATATGGACATGCAGATTCCATCCCTACCCCCATAAAATTAATTTTCAAGTTCATAATATTGTGTAATACATGTATCAAAATAGTTTAATATGCAATATCAAATTAGTTTTAATTACTTCTCATCAAATTCATTTAAAAACTAGCCAACAAGAGCTATTTTTAATCCAACAGGCTTACCCATTTGGCCCAATACTCAAGGGATATAGATAGCACCGATGCTCTTACAGCTACTCCTCACACTAAACTCATTAATTTCTCTCTCTAATTTGACATGCAATTTTCTGTTATCAAATTCTTCTTGACCAGTGCTTGATAATTAGAGAAACTTGGGGCTACAACTGCTTACAGTTGTATTTGGCTGTTTTGGTGTACAAATATTACAAATTCTTTAAAATTTTTCCATATTTTAACCAATAATCCCCAAGTTTTCTCCTGGGGGTTAATGTGTGTATTTTCTATATGTATGTTTGTTTACTACATTTGTATATATATTTTAACAGTCGTGCATTCTTTTTACTTATTTGCTGCTTATGTGTTACCATTTATACTTTGTCTATCTCCAATTGTCCCGGAGATAGATCAATTTTGTTAACCCATGGAAAAGTGAACTGCCTATATAGGCAGTTAATAAGCAGTTCTTCAGTAGTTTTACTAATTTTTAGCAGTTTTCAAACAGTTTCATGCAGTTTGATTTTTACTGCTCCCTAGTAACTGCTAGGACCTTGGGAGTAAACAGTTTTTCCTTAGCAGTTTTTAAGCAGTAATCAATTTCCCTAGCAGTTATATCTTAGCTGCATATGCTTGAGGATAAGTTTCCTAAACAGTTTTGTAAGCAGTATATAAGCAGTTTCCTTGTATAATTTGATTGGGTTCAAGAGAAATTTAATGTTGGGCTCAATGTTCCAACAAATATAACAAACAGGAAGCCAACAACTGACCGCCAAAATTGAATTCTGGGTGCCAATTTGTATTGTTGGACAAAGGCTATAAACCAATGAAGAGGGAGCCTGCTGGCCATAAGCTGCATTTAGATTTAATGAAGAAATGATGTAGTCATTTAACAATTGGTAAGTAATTACTACAATATATATGTGGCCTTTAATAAAGAGATAAATTGAATACATGTTCTGTTCTAATTTTTTGTTTGAAGGGCATATATTAATAATTGCAATCTGTTTCATGATTAATTCCTTTCCATTTACAGACTTTTAGAAGAGGAGTGGGACAATATTCTCGTTGGCATACACAAATTTTTGTGTCTCTTTCAAGAATAACAACTGAGATCAATGGATGATCTATAAACCTAGCTGAGCAATGAATTATTATGATTACCAAAAGAGTGCCAATTGAAATACTTTTGTGGTTTACATAAGGATAGAAAAACCCAACAATGTACTGGCCTAGCTTTAGTGCAATACGACTGCTGTATAATCAGGACTTAATGTGGGATGAAGTGGATATTTTTTGCTGTTTACTTATTAATTTTGAGGTTTTAATTATACCTTCAGTGTTGAATCTTGTTGAGCATTATATGCCCTGGGATATATAAGTTTTCTAAAAAGTCAGTGAGTATAACTGCATGGTTGTTTGTGTTAAAAAGATACATGTAAAATTACAGATGCATAAAACAGTATACTAGCGTTCAATTTTTTTTTAAACATACATCATAGCAATCTCTGATTGCTTGATTGTGTAGTTAATCAATTGTACAAAATACAATAAATTAAAATGTAACAATTGATCTATTATTGCTATGTATTACAAGTTTGATACGAGAAAACCTCTTTGTGACTCATTAATATTTATGTGATAAAAGGGAAAGAGATGAGCAGTATACTGGAAGTCCACAAGCAGTTAGCTAAAACTGCTAAAGTAACTGCCTATGAACTGCTTAAATAACTGCCTATGAACTGCTAAGAAACTGCCTGTGAACTGCAAAGAAACTGGTAAGGCTAAGAAAACTGCTTATAAATTGCAAAAGGTTTGTTCCTCCATCAGCAATCTGGGGAAGGTTAAGTAACTGCTCTAGGACTGCTTAAATGTTTAAACTGTTAAGGCTAAGAAACTGCTTAATAAC